ACAGTCGCACTATAAAACACTATAATTCACAACGAACGTCTCATGTGCTCGACTCAACTGTCAATTACACATTGTTGCCGCCAGTTCTTGGCGGCTTATATATACAAGACTATCGCATATCTAGTAGCCTCTCGAGGTTTCATGAACATTCTAGAAGCACATGACGTGTTACTAGCGTCACGTGACCTCCGCTGTCGTAACAGTACATTTAAAAGTACACTCACTGAAATTTAACTTTAAAACAATTATAGCACATGTAATAAAATAACATTTCTAAAAGTGTATAACACTTCATGATGATTATCTCCACAACATTATAATCAAATTATAATAGTGGAAAGTTCTGTTGTTAATTAAGCACAAAGATACATAATGGGCTAACTCTGCTCTGTCTACTGTCAGTATCTAAACATTTAAATCAGGGGAAACAGTGCAAAGTAATCTCTAAAACATTTATATTTCTATGAAGCTGCTTAGGCCTTGAAAGTTGAGTCGGAATCACTAAAGGTCGAAAGTTTTAATTAGTTGCTGAAATGGCTGGTATAAGCTTTTGAGTTTTCAAGCAAATTGATCATGCAGTATTTTTCATCAAAGAAAAGGCAGTAAAACATAAGTGTTTAAACCTTTTCCACACCACACAGCACCTTTCAGAAGTTTCGAGCACAGCAGCATATTAAGTTTCAAAATGTAAGCAAAAATATCTATATACTAAAACTCTGAGATTGTTTGTTTGTCTGTAATTAAATACAGCAAAAATGGCACACAATAGCACCATATTTGTAATAAAATGAGAATAGAAACAGAATCAAACAAGTTTCGTTAAAATCGGGCTACAGGTTACTAAGTTAGCGCAGTTTTTCGGGTCACTTTAATGAAAATTTCTAGCATGAGTAATTTTACAACACACTACCGTTCGCGCTCCTTACAAACTTCTGATGACAAAAACAAGATCTTGAAGAATTTCTCAATAATGTGCCTAGGTTATGGTAGGTAATTAGAAGAAAAAAATAAAGTGTTACTGTTTCTTATTTGTAGAAAGTTTAAGAGGAAAGACAACATCATAATGAACTAATTCATCACAATACATGAAAACTCTGACTTCACTTTTTTTGAAAAATTAAATGGTCTTTCCTTTTACTCCTGATCAAAATTAAAAATATTTTCTTGAATTATCAATAACACGAATGGATTGAAATTATCTCAAAATAAACCTTCATTTCGGTGCAATATTGAAATTAGCTTGAATTTTTCATAACCTCTGAATAGTGGGTGACCCAATGGGTCACGAGTGGTCTAGTTAATTCTAAACTTATTTCACCAATTTTATAACCAAAAGATATTTCAAATTTGATTTTTTGTCATTTCAAACATTTTTTAGACAATTTACAAAGAATAACAAAAAAATATATTCAAACATACATTTCTGCACAGTTCTGAGGATTCTTGTTTGTACACAGCACTTAATATATTTGTTTAACATTTTTCAGCCGATCTCAAAGCATAAATTTATATTTCATAGGAAACTACCATCCCTTGAGAATACACTTATCCAAGTCTTGTTTCTCTCATAATTTCCATTCTCTATAAGAGGTGTTATTAATATAGGCCCACCTTTCTTGTGATGTCACTGCATGTGTCTGAACAATTACTAACGAAGCCCAACTTTGAAAATATCTTCAGCACAAAGTTAATTATCCTTAAGTAAATTATAAACTATGTCAATTTAATGTATATAAAGCAGTGCTAACAGTAAATTATGGAAATTGTGGGAAATTGACTATAGAGGTCTTTTACAGAGTGGAACAAACAAATCTAATGACAAGTTTAGAAGATTTATAAACAAACCACAGATCTGAGAATTTTTTTATATTTCTTCAGATTTTATTTCAATTCCCAAGAAAGTTCTTGCATTAAATCATATTTGTTTCCAAACTATGGGAATTTTCCTCTGTGGCAATATGTTAAAAGCTTAGTAAGGACTAGCAAGTACAGTAGGCAGCAGCAAAATATTCCAAGAGCTCAAATCCTTAGTTATTGAATATCATTTTTTAGTTTATCATATTAAAACACTGTAAATAAATTAAAGAACTTCTATTTACTGAAAAAAAAACTTATTTGACATATATGTGTCTCGAACAAGAATATTTTTAGTAAATATAATGTTACCTAGCCTAACAAGGGTAATAACGATGCCTTTGTCACAGATGAGATCATAAGTTATCAATAAATATTTGTCAGTTTTGCGATTTATAGCCAGAAGTGGTGATTGCTGCAACTTCGAAAATAAAGTACCAAAATAAGTACTGAATATCTTTCAAATTAAAATTGACTAGATATATCTAGTAGACATTTTTGATAAAAAAATTAATTTTTACAGTTTTTTTCAAACGTTTTGAAATTTTAATGTAAAAAAATTATTGAAAATTAAATCAATTAACATTAATTTTTCTAATCTGAAACTAGATACTACTTAGAAAGTTTTTACTAAGTTTTCTGCAACATGGTTAAATATTTCAACTGTGAGAAGGAATAAATCGAAGGATATCAATAATACTTTACCAGTCTGAAAATGGTTAAACAAGATTATGTAAAAACAGAATTACATCCAAACTAAAAATATCAAATACAGAGAAACTCACCCACGTTCTGTACAGTATCAGCTAGTCTTTCGGGGTTATCAGTTAAATGCCGAAGAATCTGTTTAAAAAATTATTTTATGAAAAATGGTTGCTTTGACATACTACATATCAGTGTTTTACTTAAAATTCATATACTGGTTTTTAATAAGTGTATTACATAATCCAATAAAAATATCACAAATAAGCAATTATGAAGATTACAATTAAATGATGTAAAAGTAAAGACACAATAATAAAGACAATCTTGAAAGAAAAATGACCACTAAAACTTAAGTAACAGATATACTAATGAAGATACCCTAGAAACAGAAGACGTAACTAGTAATTCTACTTCTCAAAGTAACTTACGTATGGCTAGGTACTTTCCCTATATACTTACTCATGGCCAGTTATTTTCTGTAACTAAATCTAAGTATTGTTAGCTACCAAGTCTTAATAGTTTTAAGTATATGGAGCTTTTTTTCTTTCTATATAGCTTCTAAATATCTCTAGTTATTTTTTTCAAAATACCTTAAAAGCAAAGCCAGCTACTGCCTCAAAGTAACTTTACGTATAGGTAGGTACATTTTCAAAATAGCTTATAAGTATTTTTTACAAGTAGCTTCCCCAAAGTTACTCAAAACATTGCAAAACTGCACATACTCAAACAGGTAATATGAAAATAAATTCAACTTATCATCAAACAAAATTGCAACATATTATTCTGACAATACTATCATCCTGAAGCTACTTGTGTACAAAAATACAGTGTGTTAATACAACAATAAACTAACCAACAATGATTTATAAGCATAACAAAAATTATTTGATACAGAGAACCTACTACCTGTTTCACTAGAATATTGGCCTTTCTTCAAGTATGATATATATCTAAGTATACATGGTTTATACATAAAATCAAAATATTTACACAAGGATAAAAGATGGAGGTATTTATGATACATAGGAACGTTGTCACATAACAGCTGTTAAATTTCAGAGTATATGACTTTAAAAAAAGGGGGCAGTGCTGGTCAAGTGTGTGTGAACAAAAGCTAAATGAATAACTCAGCTAAACTGTATTGATGTTACTAGGACCACTGTCACGACTTAGTGAAAAATCACCTGTCTTAATATTTTTTATTATGTCTAAACAATCTCTCTCTCTTTTTTAAGATGGTGTAGGAGAAAAAATTTATCCCAAAGTATTTTCATTCCAACTGACAACGTGTTACGGCACATTTCTCAGATTAACCTGTACACATTTGACCTAGGTGTTCTTGTCATCTGATTTCCAAGGTACACAAGGTTTGTACAATATATTTCTTTCTGCATTCACATGGTACACTTGCTTTTATTCCTTCAGTAAATCTTTCATGGTAGGTAATAAATGGTAGGGTTAAATAGAGTTTTTACATAAGTTTGTATGCTACTGAGAGCAAAAACAAGAGGGCTAATATAAGTACTATATTTCGTTTTTCATGTATATTCTTTATTTATTAATTTAAAAGTATCTAAAATGTAAAATTTAGAAACTTATTACGTTAGGTAAGGTTAGATTAGATTAAATAGATTAGGTAAGATTATTAAACAAAAATTATAAAGTTCTTCATGAGGTATGCTCACGAGCAGTTTGTGTCATATCATTTGATACACTAACATGAGCTATGCATTCACAGAGTAATTTACAACTTGTGTGGCAGGATTATTAATTAGACACAATTCAAAGGCCAATAAAAGTATGTATAAACAGATGTATATTGTTACTAGCTTTAACCTATTTAGGATAAACAAATATAGTTTCATGTTACAATTTCAAGATGGAAAAAAAAGGATAATTTAGATATATTTCATATTTTTTATGGTGGTTAAGAGATCTGGCAAATTCACCAACCTTGTATAAAGTTAGTGTAGAGAAAATAACAAAATATAGGTTTACTAAAAAAAAGTTTGATATTTATTTAGGAAGTTTTAGATGTTATGCAATTATTTGAAAATTCTCAGATGAACAAAAATATTTTTAAATATTAACATAAAACCACTCTGAACTCAGAGTAGTCATCACTCTGACTCCATATATTCATGGACAAATCTTTAGTAAAAAATACTTAATTTAAAAATATGATTTTTTGTGTACAAAAGACTTGTAATATTCAACGAAAGTTTGCCACATTTTGTGAAGATATATAAAACATATTAAAAGTTATAGTATGGAAACTCTGTTGGTTACTTTAAGGTTACAAGGTCAGTCACATCAACTGACCATGTGAAAAGCTCTGTCTATGATAGGGTTAAAATCTCTAGATAGTCCCTCATTGTTGGTAGAACATTTTAAAGCATGGTTTGCTCAGGTAAAATAGGAGGACATTTTTTGTGAGAAGATCTTGTGTGCAGTAGCATTCTGATAGCATGGGGGTTTTCTGAAATGATCAGTTTATTGTTTCCTCTTTTTACATTAACATTTAACAAAAGAGAAGAACTACCATAATCTACTTTTAAAAATTACAACATCTGGCTTCCTGCTATTTAAAAATTCTATAAACTGAAGTAGACTATTTTTTACAATGTCACCATACACTAAAAGTATAATCAATGTATCTTAACAGTGAATTTATTCCCAAAGTGTTCTTCCAGAACTAAATGTAAAGATCATCAAGTATGAAAGAAAGGAATATCTCCTTTTAAGGTCACTGTTTTGTTTGTACAACTGACTATTGTAGGGAAAATAAATAGTTGTTCACAGTGTTCTTTTAGGCTGATTAGGTGATTTATATCAATAGAATAGAAACCATCTTGTTCTAGTTTAGTTCTTAAATGAAATAAAGACTGTTCAACTAGTATTAAAGTATTATCAAATAATATATTTTATATCAAAAAATACTGAAATATCTTCTTGATATAATCCATAATTTTTTATTCTATCCATAGAGTCTAGAGGAGGTAGTCTTAAGCAAAGCATTTAATCTCTTAACTAAGAACTTAGCAAAATTTTGTACTGATTAGGCACAATAATGAATAGCATTCTTGTGAATCTTATTCAGGGTATAAAAAATGAGAAAAGATGGAGAAATTATTTGGTTAGTAGTGAGAACAATGCAATCTTAGCTTAAAGCATTTATGTTAGATTCTGTGGTAGCAGCAATATGTTCAACTGGTAAAGTTCTATGTTTTACAAAAAAGTTTACAATAAATTTAAAATGCTGTAAAATTTTCTAATTCATGTAAAACACTGCAACAGAACAACTCACCATTCACAAAACATGGCAAAAACTGCAAATGGCCATTCACAAAACATGGCAAAACTGCAAATGGCCATTCATGAAACATGGCAAAACTGCAAATGGCCATTCATGAAACATGGCAAAACTGCAAATGATCATTTACCAAACATGGCAGAACAAATGTATCTGAACAGGTCTAGGAAAACAACAATCGTGCTCCAATGGTGGTTCAGGGTACTACTACGGAAGTCTTATTCAAAAAAGAAAAATTAAGATATATCGTAACCTAACCACAACAATGACTTGTAACGGTGTAATTCTGAATATTTTATGATAAATTAAAGCTAAATCTAGCTCCATATAGGATAAAGAAGTAACAAATTGTAACTGAAGAAAGCCACTAACCTGAGTAAAGTAGACCTGTAACTTATGGAACTTTGTAAAATTTTAGTCATTTTATTTTGACATGACACAATTTTATTAATCATCTAAAATACATAAAAATAGGTGAGATTTTGCAATATGAATTTTGTAGATTGTATACATGATTTCAAGCAAAAATACATCTTTTGTTTAAATATATATACATATATATACATATATATATATGTATGTATTTTTTTACATCTAGAGTTATTATAACTCTTCAAAGTAATTCAAAACTTAAAATGCTCATCTACTTTTCTAAATAGCAGCATATAAAAAACTCATTGAATATTAGTTACATCACCAAACAATGTCTGAAGTCTAAGAATATCACAAGAGCTTTTAAGTGAATTAAAAATGTAACAGACCTTCAATGTTGATTCTAAATCTCCAGTGTTTTTGCAGGATGTGGCTAACACCTTTGTTAGTAAGATGGCATTCAATCTGACAGGGTACTGCTCAACTGGAAGTTACAAAGCATTTCAAGCTTCTTGATATTATTCTCAATATTGAAGCATTTAAAAAAATCACAACTACCTTTACTTTTCTTCTATCATATTCTAGTTAATACACTACAGCTTAATCTTGTATTATGGATTTATCGATATACAAGACAAATTAAGGATTTATTGTATCTATTGCGAAGCACAAGATTTTAATCAATACAACAGAAATTAGTTCTTGTTATGTGTACCCTAAAGACAAAAACAAGAAATATTACTGACACCAATCTTGTTGTAACTTGATATCATTAAATGTTTTCTATGTGAATTTCTACTAAGAAAACCATGACTAATTAATTGTAGTTTTCTCATTTGTGAATTCTAGTTACACAGCAAACTTATCTGTGAATATTACTATTAAATACTTTTAAAATATCTATGCTTATGTAGCTTGCTTAGAATAAATAATGATCAAACAAACACTGAACATATCATCAATTTTTTTAAATTATAGGGAAATAAGACACAATATAGGTTAACTTACTCGAAACTGCAGCTTGTGAAGTTTCATTTTTTTCAAGAAGAATATAGATCAAGGGATTTATAACAGAACCTACAGTCATGCCAAGTTCCTGTATAAATAAATAATTACAACAAACAAACATATCAATTCTCCACCAAATCAGTACACATTTCTTGTGATTCATTTCAAGAATATGGTTTATTGTTAATGCCAAAACAAATTTGTAAATTTAACATAACATTTTTCAAATTTATTTTCAAACAAACTAATCTACTTTTGATAATATGAGGAAACTAAATAGTAACACTAATATACAAAAAACATACTTTATAGTAAAAACACTAGATAGAAAGAAATATCAGAATTTTTATCACTGCATTATAAAAAGGTTTTTTTTGAGTGAAAACATGAGTTCATTCAGAACAGTTATAATATTTCTCAACCGGCATAAAAGATTTATCCATTTAAAAACGATATATTTTGAATTTCTCATATACATGTGAAAAGAGAACAAATAAACCTCAAGGATAAAAGTAAAACGTAATACCTTCATTTTTTCAACTACTATGTTAGTATCACTAATGTTGAGACTAGGTAAAACATAGTCTGTTAATGTTTCATAGTTAGCTGGACAACCATATTCAATCATTTTTTTCAGGACAGAATAGATTGCTGAAAGAACAGTAAAATTATACATTTAATGTAGTATGTTTATTATTATTCATAGTAACAAAATACAAAGTGATACATGAAATTGGTTTCACAATAAAAATATGTATTGAAAGTAATTTCACCCCTAACTCTATTATTTAGACTCAAGTTCTGCTCTGGATAATCTATCAAATAATTTATACATCTTTGACATCATACACTGTTACACATGTTTACAAATACACTATATGTTGATACAGACATGTTGATATACAGTAAATGTTGTTATACATTATTTTTCATAAGTGTATATTTAAAATAGTTTAATTCAATAACCAACTAAAATTCTAGAACATTTCCACTTCTTTCTTTGACAAGTCTAAAGTATCAAATTTTGGAACCATATATAAAATCACAGAAATGAAGGTTTTCAAATAAGATAATGTTCCCTTCAGTGTTAAAGTAATTCTTAAACTTTTCTGATGCAATTTTTCACAGATTCAATTTAACCAACACCATGAGTGTGTCAGTGTAATTATAATAACATCAAACATTATTATGGATTAGAACAGTGCACTGCTTATTACCCACATTTTAAGCTACTGAGCAGTGTCCAACGGATGTGATTATGTATGCTTAGAGTGATGGTACTGTCAATTTTGTAAAAATGCTATTGACTGTATTTCTCATGGAAAATGAGAAAAATCATCATACGAATACATCATAAAGGAAGAACATTTTCAAAAAGCTGCAAACCAAACAATTTTTTTATGACTAAGTATGGCTGTGAAATAGTCACGTTCTTGTTGTTTTACACTGAACATTTTGTAGACACAGAAGTTTGATATTCTTAAATATGAAATATCCTTTTCAAAGAACATCATAGAACACACTCTAAAATTATTTCATTGGGTAAATTTTGAAGACATTCTGCTACATACAATTAGATTAAAAATATATAATATCTAAAAACCATAAAATTTCTTCTTGTGCAAGATAGGAAATATGAAAAGATGTATAATATTTCAAACTTTTACCATTTTCATCCTTCTGTCTAGACAATGCTATGAAAATTGGCCAAAAATAATGACATCGTACAGGTATTTCCTGTGGAATAAAAAATTACTGAAGCCTTATATTTTCACTAAAAGCAATAACTTTGTTTTATCAGTCATTTCAAACAATCATGTATTTTGATATTTCAAATGATTTTACAAGAAATTTAGTTAACACTAATTCTTTCAGGCAGAAGTATTAATACACAACATTTTTCATGTTAAGTAAAAAATTAAACATAATTTGATTACATTAACGCTACACAGAAAGGAAACTACCAAAGAAGTCTTGGAATACGCAAATACAAAAGGGCAATTGATGGATATTTGTAGGAAAAAAAATATGCATTGTTTTGGGTATATAAATAGGTCTAAGATAAAGTTGGCAGTAATCCTGATGAATAAAATTGAAAGAAGAAGAGCAATGGGCAGGCAAAGGTTCACCTGGCTCAGTGATATGAGAAAATGTATGGAAAATGAAAAGTTTGTGAAGGAATCGAGAAACAAAGAACAAATGATATTAATAGTCATCAACACTTAGAAATGGGGAGGACACTATGATTGATCACATTAATGCTAAGTTTGAAACAGTAACACTAAAATGTTTCTAAGATATCAAGTACAGACTTTAACAGTGGCTTAATTTTTATAGCAATTTGGAAGTATAATTTTTTCTTTAAAATATTTCCAATTTTATTTAATAAGCATCATATGGAAAATAATATTACTGTACAAGTTAAATGAAACTTTTCATATTAAACAACTTTCTGTACCTCTTTATGCAATTCATCAATAAACTGAAGAGCATGATCTGAAACAATACACATTAAATACAATTAATATATACACCGAAACAATACAACAATGTACACATTGATTAAAACAATACACTTATTTGAAATTAAATAGCCTTGAAGGGTCCTAACAAATAATCCAAAATCACAACTGCATGAGGCATGTGTATTTAAAGCATATGATGCAAAACAATGAATATTTTAAAGAAATTAAATATCTGCTACATTTCCTTATAAAAAATGAGACAATATTATATGTCAATTATATCATAAAAGCTTACAAACAATTACCCTAAACTTTATAAAATAACAAACAATAAAACTATTGACAATCAATAATGTTATGCTTTTTCTACAATAATTCCATTCTTGAAATGAATGCTAAGAGCACTGGTTGTCAAGTATCACAACAGATTAGCAACACTCTCAAAGAAACAGTAGCTTTTATTGTGTATTTCTCATCTAAGCTAAGATTTTTATTACAATAAGATAAAAATATTAAACTTAATACTTTAATCACATATTTAAATTTAAAAAATACAAGTTTGGCTATTTCATCAGTTCTCTAATATTAAAAATAAATTACTATGGACCTAGCTTTGTTACTTTATTGTATAGCTATAATATACTTTCATATACAAGTTCTTAAATTCTTTTAAGTTGTAATTTTCAATTTATCATTTCACTTGTGTTGCTTTATACTGGAGTTAATAATAATTGGACTGTATAATATTAAAAGTCTGAGCAAACTCTACTGTTATCTTTACACTCAGAACATGACTTGAAAAGTTTAACAGTGCAGCTAAGCTTTAGGTTCTCATAATTCATACTTTCAACTCAAAAACATGAAGAAATAACTTCAGTATGTGCAAATAAAGTTTAAACTTTCATCTACAATTTCTGCTGTGATACAAAAGAAATTCTTTAGAGAGACGATTCACAGATCAAAAGTTTGAAGAGTTCATTCCAGTATAAAAAGTAAATCAATAAATACCTGTTTTTTGATAAACTAAAGTATTTTCAGTAGCTTTAAGCACTGATGTTTCATTCAGTCCCGATTTTTTCATGTCCTTACAAATATCAAGGATCTTTGAAGGAGCCTGCAGTGAGTGGAAATAAAAATACTTGTTATGACTAAAAAATTTCACATTTACTATGGCATATATTTTTCTTCCCAGAGTCATTAATTATCTTTAAATTATTATAAATGTTAAAAAGCATCTTTATAAGAGAAGATTAACAATGATGTCTAATTATAATTTTTTTAGTTTGCAAGCAAGTAAGATTTTAATGACCAAAATTATACTGATAGTAAAACGGTACATACCACTTCACACCGTACCATCTGTCGAATAAAAAAATTGCCTGCTGGAGCAAGATTTCCATCTGGCAAGGAAGTGCGTGGCATTGTCTTTAATAACTTGTATCCAACATCTTCTTGTTTGTTATTGACTAGTTTCAAAATAATATTGATGCAGTCCTGGTTGTATCCTGCTAATTTTCTAATTTTTCCTAATACCTAAAAACAAATGATGCATTGTATAATTTTTTTTTTCTTGATTCAACCTAAACTAAATTTACAACAAAAAAAATTGTTTTGTAAAAAAACTGTTCACATTTTAAGTCAAAATAAATATTTTCTGTCTAAAGACAAGTTGATATTTCAAATCAAGTGTCAGCCATCTGGCAACATGTTAATGTTTTATATCATGTGTCATCTGTCTGGATATAGATGGTATTTTAAATCAATTATTTATCAGAAAACTAATATCACTATTTAAAAGACTCAGAAACAAGCATAGCATTTCTGATGATAGTTTTTCCAGAAATGTTCATATTTTCATGTACCTCATCAACATACATGCTGTGTCCATTCACTGCTAGGGTATATACAATATCTAAGATATCTTTATCCATAAGATATACATCATTATTTTCAGCTTCTTGAAAAATGTTTTTCATTTCATCAATCAGGCCTTTTTCCGCATAGCCACAAAGCAATGCACAATACGTATCACAGCCTGGCTCCAGCTGGGCATTTCTAAGTTAAAAAAAATACAGAAAAATAAGTTTTATTATTTCTAAAAAAAAAAGCTTGTCAACTGTATAAATTGTTGAACAAGTATTTCATTTTAAGTAAAATTGAGAAACCATGTACTGAAATCCTTAATGTTTGAGAAAAATGCAATCAACTAAACAAAAATATCATTAACTCAATGTGACCACTTGGGTTATTCAAAAGTGCTTTACAAGCAAGTGCCAGGTCATTAACCATTTAGTTTAACCGGTAAAGCAGACACCTAGCACATTCAAGCCAGGAAAATCACAAAAAAATAAAATTACCACCTTAAAACTCTACAAGCTATTTGTTTCTAAATTTTCAATGACAATTATGAAATCAAATTATCAAGATAAACTCAGTAAGCATATTTTGGAAAAGTAAGATGACTTCAAATCAAATCCTTAACAATATTTAAAAATGTATTCATCATTATATTTCACAGATTTAACTTAAAAATAAAAAATAAAAGTTATTTCAGAGAAAGTCAAAAACAATTTATTAGTTTTAAATAAGAGAATACTGAAAATGATTAAAAAAAATTAAACACAATATGTAAGATGCAGGAACCATTAACCCTTTCCAGCCTTATCTTTTTTCTTACAAAGGCAAATTATGATATCAGGTTCTGAAAATCTCTCTTCCCTAAATGTACCTACAAAATAAAATTATAGCTGAAGTACTGAGTTTTCAATATTTCTTTTCATCTATGTTTTTGTAATGCTAGTTTTGAAGAAGATAATTTTAAAACATTTAAACTGTTAACCCTAATTTTGATTAAGTACAATGTATGTATTAAAATTTTACTCTAAATAATGATAGAAAGGTATTTATAAACAGGAGCAACTTTTAACTTTGAGCGATATACTGTTTCAAACATCATAGAATTGTTAAAAAACAAAAAAACTTACCTCATTACTTCTAAAATATTCTTAGCATTTTCCATGTCACTGGAAATAAATTCAACAGTTTAAAATAATCAATAATAAACTTCCACATAAATATCTAAATCATCTGAAATATTGATATTCTGAAAGAAAGAAAAAAAACTGAAGCTTGTGAAGAAAATATCTTATAAATCCTTTAATCCTATGGAGAATCTTTCACATTTTTAACTGCAATAGTAGAAGTTATTATTTAAAATCAATACCAGAAACTGAAAAAAATAATGAAAACAATTTCTCTTGCACTCTTTGTATAAAAACTTTTAGGAATACTTCTCACCTTTTAATCAAAACAACAACAAAATTCCTAAAAACAGTCAAAGTGCTTGATCACTGTTTAATTATTAATTTAAAAGTTTAGACATGTTTCTCATGTACCTCACTACTCAAAGGTATATATATATATATATTTAATCTATCATTTCTAATAATAAAAAAAAATGTTCATTAAAGGTTCATAATATCACAAAGCAATGAAATAGAATGAAAATATAATTTTCAGCAAGTTAGCTGTTGTAGATGCTAGCAATATGTTACAAATTTCTACCTCTACATCATTGCAGGTAAGTTCTTTTATTTGAAAGTAGAACTAATGCTTGCAGGGAATTTTATGTAAATGAATTGTTACTCGTGTTTTATGGAGGACTAACTGAGTACAAAATGTGCAAATAGCAGAAAAAATAAAACAAACTGTATTTTCACTGCTTCCTCTCAGTGATTGTTCCACCTAGTGCAGTTAGTGATCTGGACTGGTGCCATTTCTAGCACCATTGAAGAAATAGGAGGGTTTGTGTATCACAATGTTTACATCTTCATCTCTGTGATTGTTTTGCCCAGTAAAGTTAGTGATCTTGATTGGCTATATTTCTAGCAACATTTAGATCTAGAGAGGTTTTAAGTGTCACGAGAGTTTTATATCTTCATCTCTCTAACTCTTTCACCTAGTGAAGATAGTGAACTGGATAGCAGATGTTTCTAACATTATTTGGATCTAAAGAGGGTTTATGTGTCCAGTGGTGTAACTACAAAAGATGCTCACCATTAAAAGCATTTCGGCCAACTACATTTATTCCCCTTGTCACCAGTCTTAAGTTTATCAGACCTTTCATGTCCCCCTGCAACTGTTTTGGCATACTTATGCCACTGTACATGTCATTATATGGTTACATCATCATACGTGATATTTCTCGCAGTACTTAGATCTAGAGAATGTTTAAGTATCAGAGAATAGTTACATTATCTAGACTGGTGATATTTCTAGCAGTATTTAGATCTAGAGAATATTTAAGTGTCAGAGAATAGTTACATTATCTAGACTGGTGATATTTCTAGCAGTATTTAGATCTAGAGAATATTTAAGTGTCAGAGAATAGTTACATTATCTAGACTGGTGATATTTCTAGCAGTATTTAGATTTAGAGAATATTTAAGTGTCAGAGAATAGTTACATTATCTAGACTGGTGATATTTCTAGCAGTATTTAGATCTAGAGAATATTTAAGTGTCAGAGAATAGTTACATTATCTAGACTGGTGATATTTCTAGCAGTACTTAGATCTAGAGAATGTTTAAGTGTCAGAGAATAGTTACATTATCTAGACTGGTGATATTTCTAGCAGTATTTAGATCTAGAGAATATTTAAGTGTCACAGGATGGTTACATCATCATCTCTGTAATTGTTTCAAACAGTATAATTAATGATTTAGATTGGTGCTATTTCTAGCTGCATTTGGATCTAGAGTAGGTTTAAGTGTCACGGAATGTTTACACCTTTCTCTCTCCAACTGTTTCACTCAGTAAAGTTTGTGACTTTAGAATTAAACTCAGACCCAAATATGAGGCTAATACAACAGAATGTGTTATGCAATGCTATCAGAGCCACATATCTCTTACAGGTAAAAGTATTTGCATATAACACCAGACTGTGTAGTTTTTTAAAAGACATAAACCCAGACATGGTGTTACATGTAAATAACAAGAATAAATATCATCACGAGACATTATGTGTTGTATATAGATGCAGAATGGTCTTTTAGAAAAGCAGAAAGCATAAACTAGAGGAAATTAAATTCTAAGAATCCACGGGTGAGAGCATAGCAGAATATTTCACAACATTTTAACCACACTACATCTGATGCATTTAGTGCCAACGAGGCCTTTTGGACAATATTAGGGCTCATTGGGCTGGCTAAAATATGACAGACATGATAGTGGTCTCAATGTTATACATTATATATCTCATAAACTTTCAAGAACACAAACTGTTAGGGTGTGAACCAGATTAAGTAGGTAATTATTATCAATTTTTAATTAGTTCATTTTGAAATCAGAATGTTAGGTAATAATAAATAATGCATGTTTATATATACAATTAAAAGGAATACAAAGTTAAAATTCTTACACAATGAATAATTATTAAAACAGGTACTTGTTCTAAAAAAAAGCCTACATATGTTTTGGTGTTCTATGACACAACATTCAGGAGTAAAGGTATGGTTGGGACTTATATACCAACATAATCATTTTCATTCCTATAATACCATCTAGGCTTAAACTACCCAGAGTTACAAAACATCATTCCATTATTTTATTATATCTAGACTTAGACCAGCTTCCTTGTTTAATAAAATATCTTCGTCTTTTTTTTAATTTCAATAGTTTCTCCAATATTTAATTCAATTTTAAATTCCACCCAAATTATCAACTTAGTGTTACTCCAGTCTATAATATAGGATGTTCCTGCCACATATTATGCTAATACCTTTGCTTGAAGTGAATGAAATTTTAAAGCTTACCCATGAGTGTGTGTCAAATGCATATTTTAAGGTGGACAATAAATTTTTAAACAGATTAAATATTTAGTGATGGGGTCTCCCCTGTCCCCCCCTTTTATGTTCAATTTTGAAATTAGGATGTGTTCAACACATCTGAAATGAAACCTTTAGTGTGGTTAAGTTATGTACATGACATATTTTTGGTGTGGCAGAATGACATTGAGACTTTACTGGAATTTGAAAAACATATTAATTTGATTAGTCCTACTATCAGATTTATATTAGAGATGGAAAAAGAAGGTCAGATAAATTTCCTGTAATGACTGTCAAAAAGGATAATGGACAACTCTCAACTTTTGTAACTGTAACTTTTTAAATGTGCACAGAATTTTGCAGATTATCAGTAAAGATTACAAAGCATTCTTATAAAAAGTATTAGATTTTTAATTAAGTTTGAACATTTTTTGATTAATTATTTGCTCATACATTTTTTATTTTCAAATATTGACTATCCGACATACAAAGTAATTTTGATTTTAAGATTAAAAAATACTTTTATGCATCATAAAATTTTCAACTTTCACATGCAAAATCTCCATAATCTCCTAATATCCTCCAGATAATTATCAAACGTTTTATTTAGAAAATAACTATATTTTATCTGTTATTTTCACTATTATATCTTTGTATGGGTTTAGTCGATTCTACTAACTTCGTAACCACCATAAAAAGATATGAAATAGATGTAAATTAAGTTTTTTTTGTTCTAGAATTACTACAAATTATAACACAATACCACTAATGTTTAATCTAAATAGCTTAAATCTCATACATTTTTCATATATAAAAAATTTATCATTTTTATTTTATTGACCTTTCAATAGTGTCTGACTAACGTTACAGAAGCTGAATGACATGGCACACATGCACTCATGTTACCATATCCAACAATATAAAACTGGCCTTTACAAAGTGATCAGTCTTACCTTTGTTCTAGTGGACCAGTATTTTGTAAAATGCAGTCACATTTCAGTTATATAATAAATTATGTATGCATATACATTATTATTATTTACAAATAAATTCTTAAATTTCAGTTATTTTTCTTAAAACATAGAACAGTAAATAAAGAAGTATAGAATATTATTCTTTGTACTTGTTTGCGGTGTGCCATAATTTGTTAAGCCTTATCAAATTTCAAATGTGGAGAATGTAAATCAAAATTTTTTTTTAGGTTTTACATATGCATTTCGAAATAACAAAAAAATCCTAAATTACTATATAAATACCACAGAATTCCACTATAATTTATTAGGCTAAGCTGTATTTGGGTCTAAAAAAATATGATTTTTTGAGCTTAATAATGTCTTACTTACCACTTGAAATCTACCATGAAAAGAAAGGGTTTCCTGAGTAAATACTTTGCAAAGGCTCAGAGAACCATCTGCTGGACATTCTGAGCTTTCAATTGATTATTCACACATCATAGACAGAAGTAGGTGTACATAAGTGTTTCCAAAAATGGAAAGAGTTGAGCGGGGCCACTATGTTTGATTCCTTAAATCTAGTGATATCTCAGCAAATAGAAAAGAGAGGAGGTTCTTATTTTATATTCTAGCTTGTTAATATCAGTAATTTGAGTTACCAATTTTTAAGAAACTACAGATTTTTGTATTTGGATATCATAAACATATAATCTGAACCAATGCTGCATTCAACATACCACATGACACACATAAATCAATATTTAGGATATTTTTTAATATTTACTTCTAAATTAAGAAATTAGCTAATATATAGTACTAAAATTTGAATTATAGTCTACAATTTGATACCAAACTTATTGATATACATTCATAAAATAGGCATTCAATAAAATTTTGAATGTAAGTCTACAAACATGATGACATGGCCTTTGACCCATGACCATAGGAAGACCCTTCAGACCCATCTCGATAAGGTTAAATAACCAATTTTTTAAATTAAAATTGTAGAAAAAAATTAAATATTTTATTTTTCTGAAACTAGAGATAGAGGATATAAACCCAAAAATACTGACAGATGCATCATTAAACATTTCTATAAGTTAAGAATGTTAGATCATGTACAAAGTTAGAAGGAAAATGTAAAGTTCATAGCATGAGAGTTTGCCATATGTTCCAGGCTTATCTACAAAAATAGGTAATATAATGTCAAAATACAAATAATGCACTGTAATGGCTTGAGACGGC